CAAGTATTTGCAAGTATTTGAGAAGAAAATAAGAAATAGGAAGTGTATACAGCAAGTATTATCAATAATTAGTATTTATTCACAAGAGTGGGGGAAGAGTTTTTCCATTTTAAAAAGTATCAATCTGATTCTTTCTCAAGCATGAATATTTGGAATCAAACCACAGAGAATTTTTTATAAAACGAATCAATGGATAAATTAACTTCTTTGATTAGAGAAAGCCTCTTATGGATTTTTTTATGTACTAATGAAAAAATGTTTGCGACTTTTGATAATTACACAGATTATAGAAAAAAGGGTAATAATAGAGAGGTTAAAATATATTTGTTCTGATAATTGCTGTTAAAAATATTGGAGAATTTATATTTTTTCCTTTCTTTTCTATTTTTGTTATTTTTTTCTTTTTTTCCACCTGTTGCTATTTAATTTCTCCCCCCCCCCTCATTTTCTATTAGTTTGTGTTAGCTTTTATCTTCTGGTTTAAAAGATTTTATAATATTTTATAATATATATATATCATTTTATCATTTTATGATAAGGGATGATATAAGAATAAACTTTTTAACTGAAATATTAGAGAAAGTGTTGAGTTACTGACATTGTTTGTATCTGTCTGGAGGAGGGGTAGTCATCTTTTATATATTTTTGGTTATTTTTTATTTCCTTTTTTTCTATCTCTTTGCATTTTTTCTTTTTTTATATTTTTCTTAGTTTGCATTAGTGTTTTATCTCTGTATTTGTAAATTGTAATACAATTATTACAGAGCGAGAGAACCATTGTAGGCAAAACTTCCCCTTCAAGAGCTTTTTGACATGAAAATAGCTAGGCAAATGATTTGTCCAGCATAAAAGGACATATTCTTCCCATATGTTGGTTATGGTTGGTTCTTCCTCCAGGGGGGGTTGAATCAGGACGCCATCATAGGAGATGGTGTCCAGAAGCTAAGGGCATTTTATTGTACTGCGATGTTTTGAATCTTTGTTAGCCATCCAGGGTTGCTTGGCATAGACAAGTGTACAAAGAAAGAGGCTTGCCCTTGCTGCCATTTGTTTGCCAGGCTCAAATCAAGATGCTGATTGGGAGAGACTTAAAGGAATCACAGTTTCACCCAAATGGGTGATCACATCAGTCTGTTGAAGGCTGCCTGACCTAGCCTTTTTGGAGGGAGGAAGCACAACACCCGAGAAAAGGAACGCTTTGCAACCTGTGGTGCTTTTATCCCCCATAATAATAATAATAATAATAATAATAATAATAATAATAATAATAATAATAATAATAATAATAATAATAATAATAATAATAATAATAATAATATGGATGAAACTTGTAACAGTGGTACCCATTGTCATCGGGGCACTGGGAACTATGTCCAAAAACTTTGCAAAATACATCAAGAAATTGCAGCTTCCTGCAATAACTCGAGCAATGTTACAAAAAACTGCGCTACCCGGAACATCTTATATTTTAAGGTTGACACCTTAATAATAATAATAATAATAATAATAATAATAATAATAATAATAATAATAATAATAATAATAATAATAATAATAATAATAATAATAATAAAGCCTCCTCGTACTCTGTGCGTGGAGCTTGTCATTTGTGAGTAAAGCAGGCTAGGTATCCCTGCAGATGTGCTTGGGAATATTGCCCATTAAACAGAAGAGGGCTCACTTCCATGGAAGAAAAGCGCCCACCTGCCCCCGAGAGAAGAGGGACACCGCGGCTTGGGAGAAACGAGCCCCTCACCCTGACCGCAGTGCAGGAACAGTCGGAGTCGAAGGGCCACTGGGAAAACGTGGCGAGACGGTTCTCTTTCAGGTACAGCTCGAGGGCCGGAGGGACCCGCAGTTTCGCCTCCCCGAGAGACATGATGGTTGCTGGAGCTTTCAAACCGGAGCGGGAAAGAAAGGGGGGGGGGAAGCAAAACGGCTTTCCAAGGCATGATGGGAAATAGGCTGAGCACTGACGTGGAGGATGCCACGCCTCCCGCCGAGCGCTGAACATGCTGGGAAGCGTAGTTCTTACGATCGCAATGAGCAAAAACGACATTTGTTTTACAATTTAAAAAAAAAAAAGCGCTTGTACGTCGACAGCATCTTTTAGAAATGCCCCTTTAAAACCTTACTGATTTGTTGTACTATAAGGGCAAAGCAAAACTAGATCTCCAAGTTATCGTTTCAAAGTAAAAAAACGCCACTTTTTTTGTATTTGCTGCAGTGATGCCAGAGGTCCAAGGAAGTAATCTATACAGAACATTACAATTTAATATACTTCAGAGAGAGACTGTTTTCTGTTTGTTGCAGCAATAAGAGCGAAGGTTTCTGTGGCTCCTTAAATACGAACAAGTCATTTTTTGGGGTGGGTGTTATTCAGCACAGGTCTTGGTAATGCCTATGAAAGTACAGTAGATGGCACCACTTTGCTGACTTTGATAAAAAGTTAACCTGGGTTGGGTATGGTTAGTTTATTGGACTAGGAAATCCAATACAGACTAGCAGCTAAGAATTTGAAAAAGGCTATCAAGCAGTCGATCACAAACCATTTTCATGTTGTATTGTGGCCCGGAAAATTACTTGTAGGCCCCTAGTTTGACTTCACCTGGAATCTCAAATTCTTAACACTATTAAACATCATAGAATTAATTTCTGAGTGAATACAATAAACATATATAAGTTCAAAGATTTATTTCCCCTTGGCAATGCTCCAAAAAGGTTTCTTGGTAGATGTCAGATTCAGATAAATCCTCAAGATTCCAAGTTTCAAGTGGGATTACAAGTGCAAGAATACAAGCTAATTTGAGGACTAATCCACATGGAGCTCTGTTTCCATCTGTCCTGTTTGCCATCATTTGCTCACTAGAGACTAAAATGGACGTTCTGAAACTTGAGCTGGCCACGAACAAGGAGTGTATAGTGGAGGTGGTGACACTTTGAAAGCTGTATGCAACGAAATTTCATTTTGATGTATGCCGATTGGTGTACATTCAAAGTGACAATAAAACTATTCTTGTTGTTAATACTATCCATTTGAAATTGCCATAAAAAACACAAATCACATCTATTTGTATAAGAAGAACCTCCATTTATGGTTGAACCATCAATCCACCATTTTTACTGCCAATATGGAGAAAAAAGTAGATCTATAGAGAAGGAAGGAAGGAAGGAAGGAAGGAATTTCTGGTAGAGATGCAGATGCAGTGCAAAAACAGATTCAAGAAGCATATCCTTTTAATAATAATAATAATAGTAAAGTTGGAAGGGACCTTGAAGGTCATCTAGTCCAACCCCCTGCTCAGGCAGGAAACCCTATACCATTTCGGACAAATGGCTGTCCAGTCTCTTCTTAAAAATTTCCAGTGTTGGAGCATTCACCGCTTCTGGAGGCAGGTTGTTCCACTGGTTAATTGTTCTCACTGTCAGGAAGTTTC